AGACTGGGGACGAGCCAGGTGGGGACTGAGACCCCTATTGTAAGCAGGACGTCCCACGGGCCCTGCAGGCCCCCGGCGCTCGTCTGGGGAGGGCCTGGCAGAGCCCCCACCATCCTGGATGAGTAAACGCGGCTCTCCCGTTTCCCTTCCAGATTTTCCGGTACCGAGGTTGGCGAGGGGCCTGGGAGGTGGGAGGTTCACCCACAGTCCTCCTTCAGGACAGGCCTCAGCCACAGCGCCGCGGAGCCCCTGGTGGCTGCACTGAGTCTCAGGGAGGCGGGGAGGGCCCTGCCAGGTCGAGGCCGAGTGTCCTGCCTGCCCAGGCTCCCAGACCTGGCCTGCCACAGAGCGGCCCCAGGGCACGGCTGGCCTCAGCCCCGGCGTGAGTACGCCTCACGGGCTCTGCCCAGCACCCACGCCCTGCACACGTCTGCACACAGCGAGGGTGGGTGTCGAATGGCCCGACAGGCTGAGGAAGGGCCGGCTGGCTGGAGCTGGGGCCAGCAAGAGGGGGCCAAGTCCAACTGAATTAAACAGAAGCGCACTGACCAGGCATGACTGCTTAGCTGTATGACAGGCTTCTGAATGCAGGAGAAAATGGCCCCAAGCTAGAGCAGACCCACCCAACAATTCCTCCAGGTCCCCCTGCCCTGTGGAAGCCCTAAGCTGGCCCTGTTCTCCAGGGCAGCCCCCCACTCTCTCTGTTCAGGTCCCGCATGGGATGGGACTGCCCCAGGGGTCCCGGCCCACCTGCCCTCCCACGTCTCCTCACACTGCCGCTCCATATCCACCCCCACGAGTACTCTGCGTCCCACCTGTGCTCAGCCCCCAGCTGCATCCCTCCCGAGTAAGCACCATGCCCAGGATGCAGAGGGGCGCCTCACTGCCTCCGCGAGCATGGCCTGGCCCCAAGCCCTGATCCCCAACTCCTGGCCATATGAGCTGTCCAAGGTCCCGGCAGGCCCCCCCGCCAGCCTCTCAGGCCTCGGGCCTTGAAACCACAGTCCCTTTGGAGGCACAGGTGAGGGGCACACCTCAAGACACCCACCCACTCAGCCATGGCCACAGGGACACGAGGGTCCAGGGGTGAGCCCTGTGGCTGAGGGTCCCTCAGAGCGAGACAAGCCTGGGTCTTACTGGAATGTTCCATCCTCCTGGTGTCAACAACACCGACCAATGACCCCCCTGTGGCCCCTCGGTGAGCTGGCCTGACCACCTCTCCCCGGCCCAGGCCTACTGGCCTCCTGCCCAGCTCTCCCTTCCTCGCGGACTCAGCTCGCCCCTGACGCCCATGCCCTGTCCCACCTCAGCCGGTGGCCCTCTGCACTCTGCTCCACTGGAGGGAGCTCTGTCGGGCTCCCCACAACCCTTGTGCTCTTGGCTCAGCTGTTTGCACATAGTAGGTGCTCAAAACGCTGTGCACTGAGTAAGCACAACAGGGTAGGGGTCCAGTTAGGGCCTTCCCCGTGTTCCTTCTCAGGGGCATGCGAGCCCCTGCCGCCTCGTCCTGCTCAGAGACCCCTCCCCAGCGTCCCTGTCTGGCTCATTGTCCTCACTACACCACAGCACCCGGCACCAAACCCAAGCACATGTCCAGCCCCCCGGACGCCTTCCCCTCGCTCAGGATGCAGCCAGATGCTCCAGCACCTGTCCTGGACCTCAGAGAGGGTGAGGGGGGCATGTGCAGAGGTACCCAGCAAGTCAGGCAGGGTGCTCTGCCACCCACCCCAGGACAGCACGTGGTCGGGGCCAGGACCAGAGCAGAGGCCAGGGGAGAGGCTGCTTCTGCGCAGCGGGCAGCTCCTCCAGGCACTAAGCAGAGCGGGGGGCCGGGCGGCATGGCTTTGGTCCGCTGCCAGGCTCAGGGGTCGGTGAGTGGGAGGGGAGGTGGGGAATGCCCTTTAAGAATTAAATTTGATTTGCACTAAAGTCACATCTAGTTTATGATCCAGAATTAGCCTGCGGAAGCCGGCCGGGACGTGGCTGCGGGTCTCAACCTGGAATGAGAGAAGGCAGTTGGCTGTGAAGCGGGGTTTGGGGCTGTCACGCACCTCGCCTGCTTAGTCATGTGTCTCGCTCACATGGACAGTTGACCCCCCTGAGTGAGGCACAGTTATCTTGGAAGCCCATGGAAGATCCAGCTGGACAGGTGGCCGGGAGCACCCCTGGGACTGTCCTCCTCCCAGCGGACGAGCAGCAGCCCAGTCCATGGGGCACCCCAGGAAGAGGAGGGGCACACGGAGAAGGATGAGAGTTTTCTGGGACAGGTAACTGCACTTTCTCCCAGGGTCCCCCAGGCCCAATGCTGCCCAGGCCAGGTCACAGTCAGGTCAGGAGCCTCCATCCCCACCCAGCCCCGTAAAGGGCCCCATCCAGGGACGGCCAGGACCTTCGCTCCCGGGCCCTTGGTTTCCTGTGTGCTGGGCGAGAGGTTGAACCGAGGCCCGGGAATCCCGGACGGGTCTTTGAGGGGGTTGAAGGTGTGAGTGCCCGGCAGAGGGGTGTGGGATCTTCCCAGGGGCTCCCCCGCTGAAGGCCCCACAGACCTCTGGAGACCCTCCCGACCACCAGGGAAGAGAATGACCAGCCAGCCAGTGCCCAGCACGCCAGAGCCACTGAAGAAAGCCCCAAAGAGCAGCTCTTGACCCCATACCCTCAAATAAAACCCTCTGCCTCTGCCCCACTTTCCACTCCGCCACCCCAGCTTTGCAGGCAGCTGGCCGCAGGCTGCAGCTGGAGAACCGGAATGTGGGTTCCAAAGCCACTACAGCTGCAGGGGCGACAGGGTGGGATCCCTAGCTTCGCACCGGCCATCGAGTCCCTGAAGGACTGAGCTGACCAGGTGCTGGGCTGGAGCGCTCAAGGCACATAGCATCTTCTGGATGCCACCGAGTGCCCACAGCGGGGGGTGGGGGGTGCTGTGGGGGGCCCGCCTCTGGTTGGAGGGCTGGGTACAGACAAGTAGATGCCTCCATCTGTCCTGAGTCCGAGAGAGAGTCATGCGTGGAGGCCAGAGAAGCGCGCTGCGGAGGCTGGGCCCGCGGGGCTCTGGCCAGGGCTGTAACGGCGAGCGCAAGGGCCGCCGTCCAGAGCCCCTGACGCCTCCACGGGGCTGGACAGGTCTGGACGGAGTGGACAAGCGGGGGCCGGGATCCGAAAGGACGGCCAGGACCCAGGATAAGGGGACAGGCCCTGCTCTAGGACGGGGTGGAGGGTCAGTTAACGACTCCAGTCCCCCCAGGCCAGGCCCCGACGCGCTTCCCAGGCCGACCGACGCTGCGAGGCTGGACTTCCGTCACTGCGGGTCCGCCGGAGCCGGGCCGAGGGGCGTGGCCTCGCGCGGTGGGGCG